ATAAGACGCAAATGTATTGAAGAGGACTATCGAATAGTGAATGATCGGGTATCTCGTGCCGTAATCGATATCTGGTGGAGTCATCGAGACATGTTTCGAATAAACCGGATAAAAATACAGCAATGAAAACGTCTTCCAGCGTATGACAATGATAAGGCTTACAATCCGATAAGACGCAAATGTATTGAAGAGGACTATCGAATAGTGAATGATCGGGTATCTCGTGCCGTAATCGATATCTGGTGGAGTCATCGAGACATGTTTCGAATAAACCGGATAAAAAATACAGCAATGAAAACGTCTTCCAGCGTATGACAATGATAAGGCTTACAATCCGATAAGACGCAAATGTATTGAAGAGGACTATCGAATAGTGAATGATCGGGTATCTCGTGCCGTAATCGATATCTGGTGGAGTCATCGAGACATGTTTCGAATAAACTGGATAAAAATACAGCAATGAAAAACGTCTTCCAGCGTATGACAATGATAAGGCTTACAATCCGATAAGACGCAAATGTATTGAAGAGGACTATCGAATAGTGAATGATCGGGTATCTCGTGCCGTAATCGATATCTGGTGGAGTCATCGAGACATGTTTCGAATAAACTGGATAAAAATACAGCAATGAAAACGTCTTCCAGCGTATGACAATGATAAGGCTTACAATCCGATAAGACGCAAATGTATTGAAGAGGACTATCGAATAGTGAATGATCGGGTATCTCGTGCCGTAATCGATATCTGGTGGAGTCATCGAGACATGTTTCGAATAAACTGGATAAAAATACAGCAATGAAAACGTCTTCCAGCGTATGACAATTATAAGGCTTACAATCCGATAAGACGCAAATGTATTGAAGAGGACTATCGAATAGTGAATGATCGGGTATCTCGTGCCGTAATCGATATCTGGTGGAGTCATCGAGACATGTTTCGAATAAACTGGATAAAAATACAGCAATGAAAACGTCTTCCAGCTTATGACAATGATAAGGCTTACAATCCGATAAGAGGCAAATGTATTGAAGAGGACTATCGAATAGTGAATGATCGGGTATCTCGTGCCGTAATCGATATCTGGTGGAGTCATCGAGACATGTTTCGAATAAACTGGATAAAAATACAGCAATGAAAACGTCTTCCAGCGTATGACAATGATAAGGCTTACAATCCGATAAGACGCAAATGTATTGAAGAGGACTATCGAATAGTGAATGATCGGGTATCTCGTGCCGTAATCGATATCTGGTGGAGTCATCGAGACATGTTTCGAATAAACTGGATAAAAATACAGCAATGAAAACGTCTTCCAGCGTATGACAATTATAAGGCTTACAATCCGATAAGAGGCAAATGTATTGAAGAGGACTATCGAATAGTGAATGATTGGGTATCTCGTGCCGTAATCGATATGGTGGTGGGCAATGTTAAAGGCAAAAGATGCACAAGATGCACAGATGTACACTTAACGGTGGTAGGGCCACGCAGCAGCCTCGGCTGTTGCACGAATGGGCAGGCGCGTCCGGGTAAGTACCACGACCTCACAGAAGACCGGCGTAAAGTGAAAGTATAATACTTTCGCGATTCGTCTGGTGAGTGAGGTGACCGGAGGCCAATTTTCAAAAGGTTGTCAACGCATCTGCAAACCCTCGGGTGTAGCAGATGTCTGTGGGCGGCGGTATTCACTTAACATCAGGTGAACCGTCTGCTCGTTTGACAACTTTTCACATAAAATAAATAAAAAAAATAGTTCGGAGGTCGTGCTTGTGGAGTAGAGTGCAATTAGCAGTGCAACTACTTCTTATGCATTAGTTTTTCTGTGTGGCTCAACATAAAGGCAAGAGACAAGCGCTTGTAGTGGCGCTAAGGCAACGAATGCTTCTGTTTATAGCAAAATAAATTGTTACTCACGACAAATTGAATGCTTTATAAAGGTGCGGTTGCTTTATCCAAATATCTAATTTCTGTTTAATTATATGCTTAAACAAATCTATGTTATTATTAGATTTAGATTTGCGTTTTTTTTTTTTGATTGATGGTTGATGAAAAAGAAACTACGAAAGTCACAATAATATTTATTTTTGAATCATGTAGAAAATATGTAAAGATCGGTGGCAAAGAAAGGCTGTTGGTTTCGGCGTCGAAGATCGTAGATTCGATTCCCACACGGGAAAGTCAACAAGAATGTATTCGTGTGACCCATAGCTATTTGTTCCGGATTTGGGTGTTTATTTTCCAGGAGGTTTGACGTCAGGTCAGGCCGGTCGTAAAATAAAATTTATCCATTAACAACACGACAAAAGAGAAGAAATATGTAAAGCTAAAAGCCTTAAAAGATGATGTTGCACCGTGATGCAAAATTGTATTTTGTGTTGTTCAATCATCAACCTATAAATAAATAGCTTGTTGAAATATTTCCCCTTGCATTACATTCATTGTTGGCAGTGTAAGGTTTTTTTGAAATATTCCTTCGAAACAATATCGTAATACCTACATATGGGACATAAAGGGTGATTTGTAGACGAAGTACATACTTTGACATAATTTTAATTGAAAACTCCATAATTCAAAAAAAAAATATTAATATTTTATTTTGATGAGAAATAACCAGAAAAATATCAATTCAAACATTGTTTGTTTATCCCGTTAACAGTGGTCACCCGATTGATAAGCGGTTTAGTAATTATGCGTTCAGCGAAAAGTTTTAGTGCTCGTCAATAGTCTTACCTATTGGTACACAGTGTTACAGGAATTTTTTAAGGTGTCCATAATGTTTGAAGAAATTAAAAATAATTTTTGAAAAAAAAAATGAGATCACAAGGACATACCAGATTCTGATTTAGAATGAATATCTGCATAATATGCTCTGATAATAATAATATTTAATGAGCTGTGTACATCAAAACTTTTGTAACATTTTGCAATGAAAATAACATTACATATTAAATGTTGTGCTCCAATCGAATAAGGTATGCTTACGCAAAGCAAAACAAACGGTCGTTGTGTGTGCGCCGTACTTTTTCTCGGCAGCGCGAGTATTGAATATGAATAAGCTTATTTAATTGTCTAATTACGACATCGGAGTGCTGCGTCAATGTGCGCGTTGCTTGTGGCTTCGAATCGCTGGATTTTCGTGAGAGACTCCCGTGCTGCCCAACAGTGCTTTGTTACATAGCTGGAGGTAACCTCGTACCTCGTCTATTGTTATTGATTCTTTGTTTATAAACAGCGAGTGGTTTTCTAGCCTATTGTTACTCGGTGGAAAATTTAAAGTGATCATTATTAATTTAAATATTTATGCTAATAACTTAATATCAGCATTAAAGAGCAGTTGACGCCTGTCGCATCTCTCGGTAGTAGTTTGCTGTGCTGTATTTTTAATATATTACAAGGAAAACATTCAAATTTAACTAACTTTAGATTCATTCGTATCGTGTGATTTTTAGTATTATTTCGCAAATCTAAGATTCTACTGGGTTAAATCTTAAAAGTTAGAAGTAGCATATTTTCTGCATCATGTATTAGTATTAGTGTTAATAATTTACGAAACAACATTTTTTGGAGCGTCGTATGATATTTATATTTATCTAAGTCTCTAGCCTAATTTGTCCTAACAATTAATATTAAATTTGTTGTGTTATCGATAGGATCTTTGATAGGTGGAATTTACGTATTTTAGTTTTTTGTTTCCTCGATATCGGATATCATATCTGCAAAGTAACCGATTACTCATTAGCACCGACGGCGACGTCGGGTGGAGTATCGCAATATTCTTTTTCGCAAACACGCCCTCTCTAGGCTCAAGGTTGTCGGTGTCTGACTTGACATAATTTTCGTGCAATCCGCTCTTGTACTCTCAAGAGGTCGGTGTAATCTAGCGTATATATAAATAATCAACGAAATATACAACAATTATATACAACCGGAAGCAGTATTTACTACGTCTTTAACCAGCGATGGCGTAAACAAGGTAATTCGTAATGATTTCAATACTTTTGTATAATTTCCGACATTGCTTATAGTCCAGGTCATTGATGTGTCATAGGTAGCAGGTCTAAGAAATTATTAATACAGTTATTTAAATATGAGTTTATAATTATGTGAGGCTAAAAGTTTCCTCGTACAACCGACCGTGTACAGTTTTAGTTTCGTAAAGCAAAAAAATGTTGGAATTATAGGATATTTATTAAAAATTAACATTTCATATTTAGGAAGAACAATATTGTAGCTTAATAATTAGGTAAAAATCACGCGTTTTACTTCATAAAATAGTTTCAGTTACCTGAAAATGGTTTAGCTTTAACACCTCCGTATGGTTAGCTACCATTTTTGTTGTTTGTTATGGAGAAGGTTCTTATGAAAGAAAAATTTAAAAATTTCCTGAAAACGTCTAAAAAGAACACTTCTATATTCCCGTACAAAAGATTCGTAATAATACTTAAAAGTTAATTTGAACTTAAATACAATACCATAAGGTTAAAGTGCTAGTGGAGGGGATCCAAGGCAAAACAAGTGAGTGACTGTGGTAAAATGTCACTTGAAATGTAAACGTCTCTTTGCTGTGCATCACTACATAGTATAAAACAAAGTCGTCCCGCTGTCTGTCTGTCCCTATGCTTAGATCTTTAACACTACACAACGGATCTTGATGCAGGTTTTTTTACTAGATAGAGTGATTCAAGAGGGAGGTAATGTATATGTATAATACATTGCACCCGTGTGAAGTCGGGGAGGGTCGTAGTACTGAATATATTAAAGAAGCATATTTTGCAATTGTCATATTTGATCATATTTCGTTGACAGTCAAGAATTTGTATACCATCTGTCAATATTTGACAGGTTTCCTTCCGAATCCATCTACTAATTAATTTATAACTTTGATTGAAATCATGCGTTACAAAGATTCATTACTATATTACTATCAATATTATATAATATACCCTTTGAGGGTTAGAATTGTACAAAATATTTTGTTTATATTAAGTTCTCCTTTCAGTTCTTGTCGTACATGCAGGCCTGTTGCACTTACTATCACCAAGGGGCCGACTTATCTGAAGACTTGGAGCCATTTCTCAAATCTACCGCACTGGAGGTACTATTATAATTATCTTTTTCTTTGTCATCTAAAAAAAATAGCCTATAAATTAATCTAGGAATCGTGTCTTGGAATGGACATTGTCGGGATAACAATTTATGGAGTACGAAAAATGTTTTTTCCGCGTGCTAATTACGCGCAATAGCAAAGAATTATTGGCAAGATTACCACATAATATGTGGTTTATGTGGTCACCTTACCAATGTTATTGCGGTATTGATGCTAAATATATACGACCCCTTGTGTATTAATAATTATAATCATAAGAAAAATATTTTACGAAATCGTTGTTAAAAATGTTATGTGATGAAATCTGAAATGTTTGAAAATGTCGTTGAGAAATGCCTACAAAGTTATTTAATAGCCACACAAACGTTAGTTGAAACTACTACTCAACATAATGCGAAAGAATACAGATATGCTGAATGGGAACACTTGGCCGTCACAACCATAAATATTGATTGAACACGACATATCAAATGTAACCTGCGCTTTTAATACTCTCCGACAGATTTTTTTTTTCATATGTATAATATCTATTTATTTACAAAAGAAAAGTATGTTTATCAGTATGAAAAGTATAGTTATCTAGTATCCATAGTACAAGCGTTGCTTAGTTTGGGACTAGAGAACGTTGTGTAAAAAATGTGTCCTATAATATTTATTTATTTCAATTAATGAGTCACTTGTATAAAATTTATTAGTACGGTTAAAATAGTAGCCTTTTTAGGCATGCTTTTAGCGTATAAAATGTGTCCTAAAATATTTATTTATTTTAATTAACGAGTCACTCGTGTTCAATTTATAAGTACGGTTATAACAGTAGCCTTCTTCAGCATGCTCTTACGTTGCGTCTTCTATCGAACTCTGCTTTCACGGGCGCCGTCCGCAGGTGGCCACAATGCGCAACGACACCAGAACGCTCGACAAGGAGATGGAGAACCGGCACACTATCGTGAACAGCAAGGACACCGTTCTGCCGAGCTGCAAGGCGGGCGACATAGAATCGGATGGCAAGGACGGCTCGACGGGCGCCGCGTGCCTGAAGAGCGCGCCGCGGATGCAGGGCTACCTGTTCAAGCGCACCTCGAACGCCTTCAAGACGTGGAACAGGCGCTGGTTCTACCTCTACGACAATCGGCTGGTGTACAGGTGGGCTCTCGAAGTGAAACTTCTCCGCTGGAGTGCTTCGGAATGTGATTGAGTAAATTTTTAACTGGCGCGATACCTAGAAGCTTTGGACACTTACATATAATTCCAAGTTATTTAATTAAACCGTAATCTCGTTACCTTAAGTTCGGTAACAGTTTCGCATGTTTAAATCTAGATTTTGTTCACAAAGCACGCGCATGTCTAAATGTGTTTTCAAGCTTTAGTTGTCGGGCGTCCAAGTTTTCGAACTTCAACTTTGTCTTTGACTTGATTAGGAATATTAAGTCATGTGCGTATAGTAATAGAGTGTAAAGCATTTCGTACTTTTGCGTTTTGTCCTGTTGGTTATGTTAATCGGTCCTCTCTTACAAATTGGCAGCACTCCATGTGTGTTGTGATATTTCGTGTTCTTACATCAGATGAACCGCCTACCTTTACCGCGTCCATACGAAAAAGGAACCTCTCGATCCAAATCGTCTTGAAATTAGATAACTAACATGCCCAGCAACTTGATAACCCAATCCAGAAGCCACTCGATTGTAGGTCGACGGTTGAATCGAAGGTCGTTGTGATTAGTATTCGTTATATGGTCACGGTCTGATGTGTAGTGAAATGTTATAGTATGACTTACGATATTCGATTGGCGGCCATTCACAAGTAGGTGGGCATACTTACCTATAGTAAAACGCTCTTACAGCTACATAAAATGTAACCTGTGTAAGTTATTTCATTCCGAAATTCGTTCGAAAGCATCCAGCTGCTTTGAAACAGCGTGAACAGTGGACAAACATCGACATCACTAATAAAATAATTTCGTATAATAACATTGAAATTGTCTTTTTTTGTATGTCTTCAACCATAATTCATTTTACGTGATTGGTTTGCTTTCAAGGGCTGAGGAAACCAATTGTCTGGAAGTAGCGGGGAAGCTTTTGCAAAGTATTTAATGGGACATGATGGACTAATATTATTGATAATGATATCAATAATTGATATAGATTTGTTGGGGTTTTCAAATTTGCTTTATGTGTAAAGTTCTTTATTTTATATATAAAAGTAAAAGTAAAGTAACAGCCTATACATGTCCCACTGCTGGGCAAAGGCCTCCTCTATACAGAGGGTATCAGGGCATAGTCCACCACGCGGCCCCACTGCGGATTGGCGGACTTCACATATCTTCAAAATATTATTATTTTTTTTTTGTTATTATTTCGAAAATATGCAGGTTTCCTCACGATGTTTTCCTTCACCGCGGAGCACGTGATAAGTCAGCACTTAAAGTTAAAAACTTCATTGGTGCCGGCACCGGGGATCGAACTCAGGTTGCTCGAGTATATTGAATTAAAGGCGAGCGCCCGGACACTGAGCTATCACGGCTCAGTAATATATATATATATATTTGTTATTTTGAAAAAAACATTGCCCTTACTTTAGGATAACATTATCCTGTGTTGTAGGGACGTTTTTTACAAACATAAATTTCGCACGGACAAACACCCAAATGCGAAACAACTATCTGTGGGCCACACAAATAGTGGTCCCGCGTGGGAATCGAACCCACGACCCCCGTCGCCGAAGCCAACACCTTGGCAACTGCACCACAGAGTCATCATTTATTTATAGAAAGTTATATATATTATTATTTATAAGAATTATATATATGTAAAGAAAAATATTATCTTCTTTTATTTAAATATTTTCTTTAATTCAAATATTTTCGCGCACCGGCCGTTGATAAAATTTATTTAAAAAAACTATGTTTGACGCCGGATTATAACAGAAAAAGAATTAAGCTGTCATATGAAACAATTCATGAAAATAATCTTTTTACACAAATATTAGCCATATTTAATAAGTAAAGTAGTGATTTAGGAATCGACATTGTGATTATTAACATTAAATGTCGTTTCTTTAATTACAGGTAAAGTTGTAATAGTAAAATCTTTTATTTTTGTTATTTTAATTATTATTTATGTAATAGTTTCAAAATCTTACAATAAATCTTTAATTACAGAGAAACTCAATTGTGTTTTGATTGCTGTGTCATCCTAATCACTGAAAAATATTCTTATATATACAGGAAGCGGACGGGAGAATTGAATGTTACCGTTATGGAGGAGGACTTGAGGCTGTGCACTGTGAAGCCGGTGTTGGACGGCGAGAGGAGGTTCTGTTTCGAAGTGCTGTCTCCTTCTAAGTGAGTTTGTTTGTAAGAAAATAATACATGTTAAATCAGCAACGCTATCCTTATTTTGGCGGTAGTATGGCCATGGACAATAGTGGATTTTATCACGTAGATGAAGTGGTAAGCCTATATCTTGCCACTGTGTCATTTGGCAAGATCTCAACTCTAGTTAATTGTTGTTAACTATGATAAAGAAGTCGTTCGTATTCAATATGCTATCATTTCCAGTTTCCTTGAAAACTGAAACTTTCACCACTTTACGACGTCAGCAAAACGCAAAACTACGTCAGTTTCTAAATCAACATAAACATGTTCATCACAACAGCATATATTATAGAAATCACTCTTTTCTCAGACATTCAGCTTCGTTCTCATCGGTTTTTCAGACGATTTCTTTCAGACAAATCCAAATTTAAAGTTTCCCTATAATTTCGGAGAAGCCTAAAAATATATTCATCAATAGTTTAGATATTTACTAACATTTTGCCTATTAACAGCCCATTATCTCTATTTATCGTCGTCTTGTTGTAAGAGATCAATTATTTCTTTACAAAATTATTCACAATGACGTTGATTCTATATGTCTCGTTTCTAAATTAAATTATATGTGTAACAGACCCCATGCTCGCAATAAGAAGCTTTTTCATGTATCCATGACTAAAACTAAATATGCTTCTAATATTTTAATTAACCGTGTTTGTCAAAGTTTTAACAATAGTTTTAATCATATAGATGTATAAATGAAACTAATTTTACGGATTTATCGCGTTTATTTTTAATTTTAATTCCCGACGTTTCGAACCCTCGGAACGTCGGGAATTAAAATTAAAAATAAACGCGATAAATCCGTAAAATTAGTTTCATTTATAATGTGTAATCGCGTAAATACAAGAAATTATTACATATAGGTAGTTAGGTAGTTTTAGATCAAATATAATAGATAGATAGATCAAATGTTCTTCAGAGCTTTTGTAATAATTAGTTTCATTGTACCGTATTCATTTAAGTAAAACAAGTACTACCGTGATGTCTGTTATATGAATTTATTTATACTGTATTTTTTTTATTTGTTAGTTTATTATATAGCTGTTTGTTTTCCTTGAAAAATAAATAAATAAAATAAATTTTGATATTAAATCTTTAGCCGTCTAAAGCAATCGGCCGTCATGATGATATGGAACGCATGATACGGAAAGAGATAACAGTCTGTAATGTAGCAGTCTTTATTGTTGCAATCTAATTGGCGTAATTTGAGTGCCTCAGTTTCGTCGCGCTCTAGTGTCAAGTCTACCCCGTATTTGTATATAATGGCGTTGCACAAATATCTCTCCGACCGTCCTGCAGGAGCCACATGCTGCAAGCGGACTCCGAGGAGATGCTCAACGCGTGGACAGCGGCGCTGCAGAGCGGCATCCGTTCGGCGATCCAGCGCGGCCAGAGCAGGGACAACCCCGACTCGCAGATGGTGCTTGTGCCGGACGACAGCCGCCGCGGCGACAGCACCAACGCCGCCAGCTTGCGCATGAAGAAAGTCCGGTGAGTCCGTCCCGCTCGCGCCCGATGGCGATGGGCGAAACGGAAAGATCTAATCGAGTTTCTTCGCTCGTCCTTCGTTAGGTTTGTTTTAATGCTCCATCTCCGTCGCACTCGTTTACTTCGTTTGAAATAGAACACGCTTAACGTTCTTTCGCTCCGTTTGTTACTCGTTCAGTGACCGTCCCTGTCGCACGCGATGATGACGGGCGAAACAAAAAAACACCGATGGCGTTTTTTCGTTTGTTGTTTGTGAAGATTATGTTAATGCTCCATCTCCGTTTATTTTGGTTGAAACAAACACTGCTCATCCCACTGTTTCTCCATTTATTGTTCGCTTAGTGCCCCTTCTCTGTCGCACTCGATGTTATTTGAAACGAAGAATGCTTAATCGCACTGTCTCTCAATTTATGGCTAGCAAAAATTCGCTTCGTAATTCAACTCTTTCGCACTCGTTGGTCGAAATAAAAAATGCCTGTTGCTACATGATTTCACTCCATTCCTTGTATTCCCATATAGGTCGTAAAATCTTAGTGGGAGTGCCGTCTCTTTCGCACTAGCTGGCTTTATAGCGAAACATAAAATGGCTAAATTATTGGTCGCTAATATTAGGTTAATATTTCACTGATATGCACCTTTCTTCGCCTTTTGAAATTGTAAGAAACACTGTCTCATAGTTTTTTATTAACGGCAACAAGGAAATCTTATTGCAGGACGAAAATGTCGTATTTTTAAATTTACTAGCTTTTATGTACAGTTCAATAGCTACGGATATTAATGTAAATATTTATATTGAGATCAATGTAAACCTATTTATGGCTAAGAATTTGTTTTTAATATGAATCGTGTCATATAATTAGAGGTCTGCCAAATGTTTATTATTATTGTGAATCTTCCAGGATATGGGAGCAGCTGCTGAGCATACCAGGAAACAACTACTGCTGTGACTGCGGCAGTCCAAACCCACGCTGGGCCAGTATAAACCTGGGAATTACTCTCTGCATAGGTATGGTGATATCTGTATAAATTATCCAACCGCTTAATTTCAAATATGACGTCTAACTGACTTTAACTGTATTTTAATATTGACGTTACATTATTCCTCATTCGCTCAATGTAATAAGGAAAAATATTAGTATATTACTCATATACTGATACTTATACTAATATTATAAACGCGAAAGTTTGTATGTATGGATGTTTGTTATTCTTTAACGCAAAAATTACGGAATGGATTTTAACGAATATTTAACATACATCAGAATGACACATAAGCTATAATTTATAAAGATACAAGGGTCTCTCAAAGTAACTCTGTCTGTTGTATCTTCACGACTAAACCGGAGAACGAATTTAAATGAATTTTGGTATAAAGATAGATAGGACCTTGAAGAAGAAAATAAGCTACTAATCCTGCGCAGACGAAGTCTGAGCACCAGCTAGTCATTCATATGCATAGTATATTTATATTTTTATAGAACTCTTTGAATTGATCATTCCGAGGATCATTAAGAGGATCATTCTGTTCAATTCAGAGAGTTTAACAATCCTTTTGGCAACTCAAATAACACTTGAAAATTTGCCATTTGACAGCTGATTACTTGACTACTACGATCATCAGTGTTGCAGAAACCGGGCGTAAATGTTTTAAGGTTTAACGCATATTAGCTAACCGTGCAGTAGACTACGTTATATATTCTTATATAGAATTTGAATGATTTCGGAAATTTAAAAGGTTTCGTATAGTTGCTGACTGCCTTAGGAGCGATATGTAGATTTTTGTTACATGTTTAATATCGGTAATAATTTTCGCAGCTTGTTCCGGAGTGCACCGATCCCTGGGCGTTCACGTCAGCAAGGTTCGCTCGCTGACCCTGGACGACTGGGAACCGGACATTATAAAGGTACACATATGAAAAAAAACTTTTTTTTAATTATTGAAACTTCGTTTACTTTGATGCTTCGAACACTGCGACTATTGCCATTGGACAGATATAAGTTTTGTGTTTGTATGTGTAGTGACATCGTTAAATCAAGGATTGCATTAAGGTGTTTAAGATTTTATTTTATGTAGTTACACATTTTCCTATTACTTTATTATTAGGCCGCTTAGTCAGGTTAGAGAAGAAAGTAGTATTACATATAAGTACGTATATAAGTTAAAGTATTTAAATTTAACTTCCCAAGTAAATTTTTTTTTGAGGCAATTTACGTATGTTACTTCTTATTCCTGTGTTTCGTCCTATTCCGGTTGCAAGCTTGATACATTTTTTCCTCTTTTTCATTGCACGTATATTTGAGCTGTAGAAGAAAGTCGTAAATAGTACTAACAAAATGTGTTTGTGCTCTCAGTCGGTTAAGAAAACGCTGTCAAATATGACTTCAGACAGTTATTATACTGCTGGTATGTAAAGTAATGTTTCATTGAACTTTTATAACATTTTATTTTAAATATTACAGGTCATGGCCGAGCTTGGAAACAAAGTAGTGAACTTAATATATGAAGCAAACACTGAGGGGGCTGACATCGTTCGGGCGACACCTGACTGTGATACGTAAGTTTCACAATACATTAAATGTTAAAAGTCTAAGCTTTTGTCAATAGTTTCGCTACAAAGTGCACTATAGTATAGAGTAAGGTTGTAAGCCTGTAAATGTCGCCTTGGACTGTGTATACTGAAGAGTGCATGTTCAGTTTGTGTCGAATCTATGTATCTGTAAAAGTAAAAACATTTTAATGGATTGCTAGAAGTGGAAATTCTCGACTTATTTCTTTGGCTGAATGATCTGGGTTTTTACGTATATTTGAAGATAACGTCTAAATATTTGTTCGTTCCAATCGATCGTTGTCCAAAGCCAATAATAAAAAATATCCTCCTTTGTGAAGAGATTAATGTGTCACATAATATACAGAGACAGATAAAATCTTCTCGGCAATCTTCTGCGTTACGCATACCGTTGGCCGGCGCATTTGTCCGTTCGGCCTTCTGTGCAAGCGCGCCAATGTCCATCTGCGTTTCCGTATTGCGTGATGCAGCGATTGAAAAAGCACGCGAATGCCCTTGCGTGTCCGCCGTGATTGAAGCGTGTAAAGCGTGTCGCGATCCGCAGCGGCGTCCGCGAGGCGTGGATCCGCGCCAAGTACGTGGCGCTCGCGTTCGTCCGCAGCGTGACGAGCGCGCCGCAGACGGCGCCGCCCGCGCTGCGCACCGCGCGCCGCTGGTCCGTGCGACGGGCGCGACGCAGGTGACGCGCACGCTGCACACACGCACGCACACGCACACACGCACACGATCAGACGTTCACACGCGTGATTTAAACGCGCGCACGCACACACGCATACTATAAGACGTTCACACGCTCGCAAGTACTCGTCGTAATACACACACACACACACACACACTTTATTTTAGACCTTTTTAAATAAGAGATCATTTGAAATAGAATATGGCAGTGAAATTTTGGATTACATGTAAAAATGTGAAGGGCACTGACTTCTATAACACAGGGTAACCTAGCACAGGAGTCAGAGTTCAAAATATCGTACATTACCTCATCCAATATTATAAATGTGATGACATTAAGTGTTATCTCTTTTTGTTTTGGTTGCATGAATAAATAAATTATTAAATTATTATTATTAAAACTGATTTCAATTTCAACTTTACTGATCAAATTTCCCGGTGCCGGCGAAATTGTTATTTTAAGTGCTGAATTATCACGTGCTCATAGGTGAACAAAAACATCGCGAGGAAACCAGGTATAGGCCAAAAGGAGGTAATAAAATATTTCGAAGATATGTGAAGTTCGCCAATCGGCAGTGGATTCGCGTGGTGGACTATCCCCTGATGACCAAAGTACATAGGAGGCCTTTGCAAAGCAACGGGACATACAAAGGCAATTACTTTAATAGAACTCACTGTTAACTTGTTTTATATCGTTTGCAGAGTTCGAGCGCCGCCTTCCGTGCCCGAAACAATAAGCGACGAGAGGAGCGATGTTAACAGCAACACCAGTGGTGAGTCTCGCGAATTTTCCCTTAAATTAGACTTTTCTTCTATTCAGGCTCGCGATTTCATTATTCGAAAGACGTATTAGATATAAGATAATGATAAGATATGTGTATATATGAATGTGTGTGCTTTAATAATATATTATGTATATTTCTATTGCACCACCTACGTAGTATACGTTTCTTTTAAGCCATTGGTTGCCTGGAAGAGATCGCTATGAAGTGATAAGGCCGCCAAATTGTACATTGCATAAATTTGTTGTTCTATTGTTACTTTTATGTATATTCTTATTTGTGGTGGACAATAAAAGTGTATTAATTCATTCATTCAAGATAAATCAGATAAGCCGTGATAGCTTAGTATCCAGCCGCCCTCTACTAGTGTAGTCCCAGTCTCCAGCAACCAGAGTTCAAATCCCGGTGGCGTATCACTTAAAACTGCAGTTTTAAGTGTTGACTAATCACGTGCACAACGGTGAAGGAAAACATTGCGAGGAAACATGACATACTTTCAAAAAAAAATACAATAATAAATATTTCGTAGATATATAAAACTTCCAGTCGGGTCTAGTGGTGGACTATGTGAAGTCTCACCCCAGGCCTGGGCCTGTGCCCAGTAGTGGGACTTATATAGGCCGTTACTTTATGTGAGATCTGCTCAACTGTTCACAGTTTCTGACAGCTCGGGAAAGTCCGACGGCAGCCCGGTGCTGTTGATTGGCAGCGAGCTGTCGAGCGAGCGCGGAGTCGACCTCAGCCTGCCCTCCGACCACGATTCCACCGAAGGCGAGGACGCCGATGATCTCGGTGAGGCACGCTTTCATCCGTAATACTCGCATATTTTCTATGATTGTCGTGAAATTTATTGATATATACTAAATATTTCTTTTATATTATGGCGCGTTAGTTGTGTGCGACATGAATTTTCGTAATCTGCTAACCCTTTATCGTATTAGTCGCATGCAGTGTACATCCGTCCTCGCTTGTTTATAATGGTAGACGTTCAAAATGTTCAAGAAGGTGCAACTTAAATACGCCAATGGAGTTTTTTTCAATCCTCATTGGCCGTTAATAGGTATCGAAATCGCTGCATGCGTGATGCAGGAAGAAAGCATGGAATTAAGCGGCTTGCAGCTTTTGAACTTTTACGGTTCCGTAAAAGTCGCTTCGTGACTTTTGCATTCGACAGTACTCGTGCCGGTGTTTTGATTCTCAAGTCGTTGTACAGTCGTGAACAACCTTTTTTCGTAAAGGTCGCGTCGGGCCTATTGTACTCCACAGTACCCAGATATTGATTCTCACGTCGGTGTACAGTCATGAACAATATACTCTACTGTAAAAGTCGCGTTGCCCCTTTTGCACTCTACAGTACTCTTGCCCGGACACTTGTTTCACGGGTCGCTGTACAGTCGTGAACAATACTCCAGCGAGATGGCGTCGCGTTTTCGCACTGGACAGTACTCGCGCCCGGTGACTTACTCGGCGACCGTTGCAGAGATTCTCAAGTCGTTGTACAGTCGTGAATAACCTGTTCTCGCAAAGTTCGCGTCGCGCCTTTTGCACTGAACAGTAACTCTTGCCCGAACACTTGATTCTCGCGTCGGTGTACATCCGTGAACAATACATAAATCGCGCCCGGCGACTTACTCGGCGGCCGTTTCAGAGGCGGAGGAGCTGTCGAGCCTGACGGCGGGCGCGGTGCTGGCGCGGGCGGCGCGCGCGCACAACGTGTGCGTGATGCGCGCCGCGCTCGCCGCCGGCGCCGAGCCGTCGGCGCCGAGCAGCCGAGCGCGCACGCCGCTCCACGCCGCCGTGCTCAGTGTACGTACCGGGTGCCTGAGCAAGCGCCCTGTGTTCGTGTGTCATTTGTACCAGATGCCTTGGCAAATACGCTGTAAAAGAGTAATGTTAAGTGACAGCGTATATACATATGTCCCACTGCTGGGTAAAGACCTCCTCCGTATAGAGCGTATTAGGGCATAGTCCATATATTTTGAATATATGTGAAGATCGCTAACTTCGAAATTTTTTTTTGTTATTATTTAAATACGTTTCCTCACGATTCCTCAGCAATTAAAATTAACAAATTCACTGGTCCCAGCACCGGGGATCGAAATCAGGTATTCTGTAGTCATGTATTATTCAATCTCTATCCATGTATTGAAAAGATTGAATAATACATGATGACAATCGAAAAGATTGAATAATACATGGTGACAATTGTACCAGGTGTCTTAGCAAATACTGTAATGTTTGTATTCATATATCATTAATTCTGAAAGGCGTTTTTCTGTCGCAAATCCATAATTTCTATGAGTCGTCAATTTTAATGATTTAAACACCATTCCAAAGCTTAGGTTTGCCGCTGTTGACTAAAAAATAAATAGAATAAATGTTTTCATGAAAAATATCTTATAATAACTTCTTATAAAGAGTGTATGCTTATTTACTTATTTTTTGGCGAGGTAAAATGTAAAAATCTAAAGACGTGAACACAGTGTACTAAATCAAATAAGTGTTCTTATTACTATTTTTTTTATTTTCAGGGTTCGGTAATGGCGTGCTCGTTTCTATTGTTAAACGGCAGCAAGTTGAACGCTCAAGACGAGGACGGGAAGACTCCGCTGCATCTCGCAACCGAAGCAGGGCATACTGGGCAGGTAAGGAATAACGTAGATAAGCGAGCTTTAAATAATATCGATAAAGAATGCACGTGGAGTTAACTTGAGTATTGTGTTCGATTAAAGAAAATTGCTGACAGGGCCGGTAAGGGAAACTATACACGTATTACAAAAAAATAATACGCGTAAGTCTCATAATACATAAAGAGAACAGTTTTCTCAGTGGCTGGTTCCTTGAAAAAAGTGTAAGTATAAGTAAGATTTAGGCAAAGCAAATTCCTTCCTATTTTTCTCAGTAATATTTGTAGTGTTGTGCCGACCGTACTTTAGGCGACCCACAGATAATCCGGTACCTCCGTGCCCAGGTATTGGCTTCGTTGGGATCGTGGATTCGACTCCCACACAAGACAACTGTTCGTGTGACCCACTCATCACAATTGTTTCGAATCGGGCTGTTTGTCCACGTAAAATTTGTTTTTAGCAATAGAAACGATAACAGAGATTTTAAAAAGGACTTATTGGCCACTACGTCAAACTACATAGAGTTTAATTATAATCACTACATAGTATAAAATAACTCCCGTTAAGTCAAAGTCGTCCGGCTGTCGGTCCCTATATATGCTTAGATCTTTAAAACTACGCAACGGATTTTGACGCGGTTTTCTTTAATAGATAGTGATTCAAGAGAAAGGTTTATATGTATAATTAATGCATAATATAGTAGAGAAACACTAATAAATTTTAGAAGTTTCTAATGCGATAACAAACAAAAACAAACATTCAGCATTGCTCCCGTGCGAAGCCGGGGCGGGTTTTAAATAATCGACACTATTGTAATTAATTCGGGTGGACCTTTCACATGCTACGGTGACTAACGAGTAAGTGAACGAACACGGTGAGATCTGCTCGTTTTATAGTCAGTCGCTATTCGATGTTTCGATTTGTTTCCAACATTATGAATGTGAAACGTCCTTACAAAAACAGGATAATGCTCTGCTACAGTGCGTGGAAATGTTTTCGAAGGGGAGACTGCAATAGATCTAATCGGGCGGAGTGGTCGCGGATACTTGCTGGCCAGCCCATTCCACACAATATACAAATAAAAATACCTTTGGTGGGATAAGGAAAGGAGAAAGTAGAAGAAATGGGGAAGTAAACGAGATTCTTCTGCAGGTGTGTCTACTTCTCCGCTACCGCGCCGACCAGTCAATCGTCGACAACGAAGGACGCACACCGCTAGACATCGCGGTAGAGCACGCGAACGCAGACATTGTCACGCTGTGAGTGTCATTTATTCATATAAGCTTTAAGCTTTCCGAACCGGTGGTACTTTACGAACCTATATACATAATTTTTTGTGTAAATTTTGACAATTCATAAGAGCTCGCAAGCGTCAATTTGAAAAAATAAATAGAGGCTTTTCTAAGTGTATTCATTTTTTAAAATTAAATTCTAGACATAAATTATTTTATATAAAAAATGATAAATATTTAAAATGACTTAATTAATTACATTCATTTTAACTTATCTCAAAAAGTGCATGATTTATGGGCAACTCATTTATTTTACGCGCGATCATTCATAACTTACACGCACGTTTGTTTCAAATAAATACGACGCGTTTATGAATGACTACCGCATTGTCAACAAGTTCTGTTTTTAGGGCATATAATAGTATTGCGATTTTTTTGAAAAATAAAAAAGGTTGTGTTTATTTCAATAAACGATTATACTACAGAGTTTGAACCTCCTGTGTGAATTTGGACACCTTTAGAAAAGCCAACCTGTATTTGTATATCATATGTTTTAATTATGCATTTTGGAAGAATTTTGTATTGTACCAATTTGTATTGTATCGACTTAGTTAGACCATTAAATAACATTGTGAGCCTAAGTAACAGATAATCCTTACTGTAGATAGCGTAGTCATAAACACAATTGTAGTGTAGATTAAAATTGTCGCTTGGGATATACTGGGCATTGTTTATTCAAAAGGATTTTTTTTGCAAATTATCTTATTGTATCCGGGCGCTGGCTCTTAATTTAATATCCTGATGATCTAAATGTCAGTGGGCGGTGGTTATCGCAAAAAAAAACAAAGTACCGTGTTGAATTGAGCCCTGATAGCTCATTGTCCGGGTGCTCGCTTTTAATTCAATGTACTCGAGCAACCTGAGCTCGATTCCCGCTGCACCAATGGAATTGTTAATTTTAAATGCTGAATTATCATATGCTCAGCGGGGAATAAAAACATCGAGAAGAAACCTGCACATATATAACAATAAAATTTTTTTTTTTCGAAGATATGTGAAATCCGCCAATCCGCGTGGTGGACTATACCTCAGTACCCTCTGTAGCAATCCGCAATGGGCTCCTTAACCTTTCTGAACAGGGGCTGTTAGGGCAGAGAGAAGATTATGCCTATTACCAGCAGTGGGACTTGCATATGCTGTTCCTATATAACAAATTGCTCCTCGGCCCGTAGGCTGCGGCTGACCAAGCTGAACGAGGAGATGCGCGAGAGCGAGATGTCCTCGAACGACGACACCTACAACGAGGTGTTCCGCGACTACACGCAGCTGGCGCACTCGCACCCCGAGCGGCTGGTGCGCGCCCGCCACAACAACAACGACGGTATCTGTCCGTCTCTTTTCTACCCATAAGCGTTAAATTGCCCTCCCGTTCTCTTGCTGCCTATAAGCGTTTTATTGCGATCCCTTTCTCTTTCCGTCTACAAGCGCTTTAATGCCATCCCTTTCTCTTTCTGCATACAAGCGCTTTAATGCCATCCCTTTCTCTTTCCGTCTACAAGCGCTTTAATGCCGTCGCCTTCTCTTTCTGCCTTTAAGCGCTTTATTTTTTTTAATGCCATCCCTTTCTCTTTGCGCTTACAGGCGCTTTAATCCCATCCCCTTCTCGATCCGCCTGTAAGCGCTTTATTGTCATTACGTTCTCTTTCCGCTTGTAAGCGTTTTATAGCCATCCCTTTCTCTTTCCGCCTATACGCGTTTTATTGCCACCCCTTTCTCATTCCGCCTACAAGCGCTTTAATGCCATCCGTTTCTCTTTCCGCCTACAAGTGTTTTGTGGCCATCCCTTTCTCTTTCCATCTATAAGCGCTTTATTGCTGTCTCCTCTGGTGGCTACGTACCATGCCATCACCGGACAGAAGAGCTATGATGGTATGCATCCCTCCCTTTCCCAATGCTAGCAGTTTTATTGCTGTCTTGTTCTTTGTCCGCCCTAAGCTACGAGCTATAACGATGACGTTTACACATCTTTTTCACAGTTGTTCCTAAAACTTCAACCACGGCACACACTTTACCCTATTGAACTCACACCAGAATTTATACTAATGATATCGAGGTGGTTATTTCTAAATGTGTAACAAAAATTGTTTGTATTTAAGCGTGTTTGTCTCCCTCAGGCGAGCAGTCGAGCGAATGATGAATGGCGTCGAGGCTTAGGCGGCTATGGTGGCGCAAGTGAAGGAACACACTCAAAGAACGTGTCGCGTGCTGTTTTAACTACAAAAATGCCGTATAACTATGACTCCAGCAGACCTCAATTAGCGCGTAGCTCCCCTTAAATCAATTCCTTTTCGTAGTCCAGTCTTAAAAACTTATTGTTTCGATTTGACTTGACGCATAAATCGATATGAGGCTAGTAAATTGAATGCTAATACAGGTCTCAGAGTGTCGTTGCGAACGGCTACGATCAAGAATGCACAATCTTCGTATTTCTGTCCCCCCTATGGTGGCAGATTCAATGACGTGCGACTACTACGAGTCTTCTCATTTAAAAAGGTGCGTTTCTGACCGTTGTTACCTAACGTTTGATATAAAACGCAGATTACCATATTATCGCGGCAAATATTGCTCAAAAATGAAAAACTACTCAAAAATATTTTACTCGCTAATTATTACTAAAACACTTGAAATCTATCTTCCTTCGATTAAATTGTGATAAATGAAGAAAGTACGGTATTGGTTAGTTAGTATACGCTACTCAACGTAATAAAAACCTCGTCTAAAGAGGGTTGATTTTAACGGATAAGTATAGTACTTTTAACTTCGAAAATTCAGTCTCAAATCGTTCGTAATTTTGCATTCGTTGAAATCGGTATTTCTGGCAAAGTTACTACGCTAGAAGTTCCTTGTCGATTGTCCATGGCCTGACAAGTAAGTCTGAGCATACTTTAAAGGGGTCTAACTTTTTATCCCACTCACAATGTTGAGCGTGTCAAAGAAGTCCGTCTCAATCATTACGTAGTACACTTTAGCGTGGCGCGTCTAGCGGGTGCGGTGAGAAGTATTGCCGTCTCGTTCGGGCTCAAGTCTAATTATTCTTTGTCTTGCTCCCGCTTATGTTATGTTCGTTTCCGACAACAATTGCAAAAAACGTTGCTAATCAGCTTCGTGAATTCAGATCGCTTACATATATGCGATAACAAAAAAAAATTATTTTTGGTCAATAAATTGACGGTACCTCGTCAAGTCAAAGGGAGTCCTTTTCTTAAAGAAAAGACGACTACATCATCGAGGTCAATTGCGACCTCGTAAATCTCAGCTAACCAAATCAATTCGACCTGTTATTCCTAGCGTTTACTGCGTTTATCGATAACGACATATGTGCAAATTGTTTCCCACCTAATTAGGCGTTAAAAGCAATCTCGCCCACGTCCTAAGTGTTACGGCATTCGTTTTTAGTATACATCGTACTTAGGTGGCGGGTAAGGTACTCTGTGATTTTTTGTACATCTTCATCGAGACAGTAACTAGTTTATATTCGTAGCCGGATCTATGCCAGTGACGATACACGGGCGGACGTTAAAAGTTTTCCTTTTTTTTTAATAAGAGAGTATTTTATAATAGGAAATGAACATTTAACTTTGATAGGGCCGCGCAATAGTATTATACTTCTGCATTTTGCCCGGTGAGTGAGCCACTTTATTAAAAGGTGGCGAAAGGGCAGTCCTACGGGTGTTGCAAGTGTCAACGGGCGGCAGTTGCCACTTAACATCAGGCGAACCGCCAGCTCGTTTGCCACCTTCTCACATAAAAAAAGAACATATGTCAAACCATAAAATTCAGAATACGTTTAGTATTACTCATAAAGTTGAGAGTAGGAACGGAATTTGTGCCATTAGGGTTGTACATTCTCACACTAACTTCCAAGTGTTATAATTAATTCTCAGTGATAAAAAAAACATGCTCCCAATGTATCGGATTTGTATTTTGTCACTTTTTATGTAATCCCTAAATATTGAGTGATATCTCGAAATTGGAGTTCACACTTTCCAAGTGAGTCGGTTGTCCATTGCCAAATATTGTTAATGAACCAACTCTCCGACGTAAAAGATATTTTAACTCATTCCTTCAGATTTATGAACTTCTGCGATTATAATAATTATTAAATTTAAGGCCATTTAATGTAAGCTACGATGTGATTTGCTTGTGTATGTTTATTATTTTATATTAGTATACCAAAGATTTTAATATTGGATGTTGATAAATATGAATTTATTGTCCCTGTAATCGATTAAAACGAGACCTGTTATCAAATAATTTGACACTCGTGTATACGAAAGGAATGTCTATACCAATTTGTAATAACTTCGATTCTTCGTACAAAAAAAAATTGTTATATCCATCATTGCCTTATATAAAAGGAGTGGTTTGGTATTATGATAAATTACTTGTGCTTCCTAATCGTATTTTATTAGCTTAAGCCGAGTTTTATATCTCTTTCGTGCTGTCTCTAGGTGATCTCTGAAGATTTTCACGTAAATTTAGAAATATGCAAACTATTGCATTGTTAAAAGAAATTATTACGCGTTACTAAAGTCTTAATTAGATGCTCTTGATATAGGGTAACGTTTTGTGAACATTTAGGCTGAGGAAATATCAAGAGAACACTCAGCACTACTATTTACTTTTAGAATCTTAAAGTTGGCCTAAATACATTCCCATTGAATAAAATGTATTATTACTCTCCCAGTCATTCCAAAAATATTTCTTGCATTTGATATCGCAGTTAAAACATCAAATAATTTTTCTAACGTTCTTAATTGAATCTCATTTTAAGCTAGCGGATTTGTTTTTAGAAAATTATATTTTCGTATCTTTTTTTATTTTCATGTAAATTATAATCGATTAAGGTTTTAGCGTAAACGTTTATTATATTTACTTGCCATTATAATTACACGCGATGCTTCTTACTACATACCAAAATGAATATTGAATAATCTATAGAAGAATATTCAACATTCATTAAATAAAATGGACAGTTCTTTTAAACCATATCATTGCAACATTTTGGTCTTTTATAAATTTATCGTATGAACACTGACCAGAAGAAATAAGAAAAACCTGCCCATCGAAGTTCCACAGTTCTTAATTGCTTCCCTATTAAATTGCTAGAAGAAATTAGTTTCATTGGTTTTTCAAATAATGACCAAGACTTATTTTTCCGGTCAGACTGGATTTCCGTTATAGCATCTCAAATTATAATCAAATATCGTTGGTCTTACGTTGAAAAAATATGTTTAACTATAAAACTGGATATTGTACTAGTGGTTTTAAATATCTTTTATGTTAAACTAATTCATATTAATTATTAAAACATATTTCTTTATTGTTACTACTTTATACTTGAAGGAAACCTCGTAATGAGGTTTAAATAATAAATAATAATAATCTTTAAATAATAAAGAGATAAACAGGTTTAAAACTTTATTAATATTTCACAAACACCAAATTTTATTTTTGTATATTTGCTTCCAAGTTGAACATTTAAGCTAAATGCTTTTTTATAACTATAAATTCATATCTATTGAAATTCATTTCACTCAAATTTTTATTAAAATTACTAAGTATGTGATCTTGACCCATAGCCTACATCGATTGGTGCTTAGATATAAATATATACCATAATATTAATTTACGTATCGTCGTCTTTCATGGTTGTTATCAGTATATTTATCGTTTTTACGATTTTATAAAAACCATTGGGTTACCGAGCTATGAAGCTTGGTATTTATCTATAGAACCTAGCTCCGAATGTTATTGTTGCCAAGAAAAGGACATGAGAGTGATGCGTATCAATATACAAATAATAATTTGTTATATAAAAATCATGTATGTTACAAGGTGTTTACAATACTCCGTTATGCTGTTAATGTATTAATCTATAATATATATAGTTGTATTTAAATATAATGTTTGGATTAATTTCGTATTTCATTTTTTCAACCGTTCGTCAAAAGTTTTGTATAAAAACTGGCCAAGACGATAGAAAGATAATATGGGCAAATTTAAGACTTTAAAATTAAAACTTAAGTAAATTTACCCTAATTTTCAACTTTTATTTTTTCGGTATTTTTCCTTCAAGGTTTTGCTGTTCAAGGTGTTTTTATAGTGTCTCTGGCTATTTAAATATATATAACATTTGTATTTATTTACCAAAGAAAAGTACCCATAGCACAAGCTTGTTTTTATGTGAAAAGTTGCCAAAAGAGCAGGCGGTTCACCTGATGTTAAGTGAATACCGCCGCCCATGGACCGACGAAGGGTCCCGTTAGGGATCGGTTGATAATTTGCTGCTTTTACCATATAACGATTGGAATGATACTCAGCTCCTTCGAAAAACCGTTTCATTACGTCTTTAAAGTAATATGAAAGTGCAGTCGCTATGAGGGTCAACGTTTCTCTGATGCGCCTGGTGTTGTGCTGATGAATTTATTTTATAGGACTTAGTTATTTCAGTTGTACTACATGTAGGTGGCGTTACCAACGCATGCAAAAGACATGCTAGCGTAGAAATTAAAGATCGTATACGCAGGCTGGAAGCTGCAAGAGTTCGCGAGGCCATGGTGTCGGCCAGAAACGAACGCTCCTCTATTTATAACGATTTCAATGTGGGACTGTTTTCTCCCATAGTAGAGATTGACCTAAATTATTTGCCTTATGCTCCGAGTAAACTTATTCTAGATAGGGTAAGGATGGTGTGGGAGACAGGATGACGGTGGTAGAATACTATGATGTTAAAAGGAGTGTTGGTATTGCGTTTGGTCACTCTTCCTACCCTTCGCAAGGGTGCTTGACTGGTATTGCAGTGGTAGGTGCGTGGGCAGAAGGAAGGTGCGCTTTTTGCCGTGCGCCTTAACCTGGAGAGTAGGATTGCGCTGGTGGAGATATCTTTTTAAATGGCATTCGTCTCCAGAAGGAGGTCGCTGAGCGAGATAGGGCCGACCCCTCTTTGAGACGAAGGCGCCGGGCTGGTAGAAACGGACAAGCCACCCTGTCAGCTCTGTAGTCCCGGACTCATAGAATAAGGCTAAGGTATCCCCTACCTGTCGTAAAAGGGGTCACGGACTGGCAGCTGTACGAAACAGACGAGCTGTTGCAAGATGGTGCCCACGCGCAGTACCGAGTGACACCGGT